AGAAACTAAACTCTAACCACCTTCTCTCAGAAACTAAACTCTAACCACCTTCTCTCAGAAACTAAAATCTAACCACCTTCTCTTAGAAACTAAACTCTAACCACCTTCTCTCAGAAACTATACTTTAACCACCTTCTCTCAGAAACTAAATTATAAACAATTAATTAATTGCGAATTTTTCTGCTAAGAAGTTGCGGATTTACAACTCCGCAAACATTAATTAGATTTAATTTCTGAACTCAAAAATATGTTTTATAAAACTAAATAGATATTACAATTTTCAAAACATAAAAAAGGTGATTTTGAATTTTGATGTAAATCAAAAAGTTGTATTTTGTAAAGAAGTGGAAAAATCTCTATAACTTATTTTTAAAAGCTAAAATGTAATATTCCCTTCTATATTTATTGCAGACCTTTTGCCTCCCCATAATAAAGAGATAAATAGTTATTATTTGAGCAATCACAATAATGTAATAATATGAAATCGAGAGGAAAGATTTTGAATTATGATGTGAAATATATATCTCAAGCACATCAAAATCATGAATTAAAAATGATTTAAAACAAAGCAAAAAATCGACGCCTTTCTCAATTTATCAAAGGTTAATCAATTTCTCGATTTTACCAAAATATCTTCTTCCCTTTAAAAATTAATTTAATTTCAAACAAATAATTTAGATATTTCAATCTATAGCCGATTATTTTTCGACGCATTCGTATATAGTTAGTATTTAATATTCGTTTTGTATAGAATGCAACTTAAAACGCCGAATTAGCTCTCGATGCTTTGAATGATTACACATTGGCAGAGACACCTAGCGGAATAAAATTCGTTTAAAGTGGATTTTAAATAAAACAAATAACAGATATTCTGAAATATTTACTGTATACGAATGGGTCGAAGAACAATCGATGACTTTAGGTTGTAATATCTGAATGATTTGTTTGAAATTAAATTGAGAATTTTACGATCCGAGTCGTATATTGAAACTTTCTGAATTTGTACGGACGCTGCGTTCTTCAGTATAAGTCGTTTTTAACAATTTTCTCCTTACAGACGCAACAGATAGAAGTAGTTGATTAGTAGCAATCAAAAGCGATTATTTTTCGCCGTAAGCCTATACTCCCTTTTAATTTTCGCGAACACTCCCTTTAAGATATATTTCGAAAGCTTGTGTCTTGACAGAATATGACATTGTCAATGTATTTCCTGTACACTTGGCACCATGTTTAGCTCATGTCAAATCATATTATTCTAGGAATCTATATTCATATCAAGACATTACTTATTTATTATTTTTGTCTCGAGTCCGCCATAGCATAAAGGGAATAAGCCAAAAAAACAGGTTTATTAGCGTCGCTTTATAAAAAAAGTATAAAAAAGTTTTCTTAAATATGATATTTTTGTAATCAAAATAACCACTAGAAAGGCCGTGTCTCCACCAAAATCAAAATTAAAAGAGAAAAAAAACATAAATGTGATACTAAATTATTTCTATCAAATCTTAAAAATGACCGCTCTAGATCTATTAACTAATATCTTGCTTCAACAATAACTGCACTATAGAATTAAAATTTCAAATTTACAAAATACTATTTTTTAAATTCATAAAATTTTCGGAAATAATGCATTTAAATATTTCGATTTTCTATTGAAGTTTCTATAGAAGTTTAAGTAAACTGTTTAACTATTTTTTTAAACTATTTTTATTTATTTTAGGAGAAAAGTGTGATTGACCAAGCGCCATTTTCTGATACTATAGAGGTTTATTTTTTATAATTGAAAATAATCTTTCATATAATCGATAACTTAAGGAAAATATATGGAACCAAGATACCAGTACCCATGCATAGCAAATTTAAAGCGAGGAACTGTACTCGAATATCCTCATATTGTGTACAGTACTCTCCGCACGGGCAGCCGTAGTACATTTGAATTTCCGAGCCCGGTCAACCTTTCTGGTCCCAGTTTGTACTGTACCTAGCTTTATGGACAGGACTAGCCGGTGCAACAAGGTTGACGTGGTCAGACTTTATGCTTCATATAGGCTGAATTTACTTTTACTAAAGGGCTAGAGGTGCGTGTCTGGAAGAAATGTTAATAAACCCAGTGCATGCTTTCAGAAATTATTATAAGCCAAAAAATCTAGAAAATTAGGAATAAAAGGAGGAAATGTACTTGGTTGGATTGTACAGGGTGTCCCATGAAACATGACAGTTGGTGAATAGCTTTGAAGAATGTCTTCTTCCACATACTGTATTTGATATTTAAGATTTTTTTGCAGTTTAATTCGTTTAAACATGTTTCACTTATTTATATTTATACTGTGAAATCAATTTCACTATAATATAACTGTCATATAACAAATGTTATTAGTCTCTTTAGTATTAAACAACATATTAAATTATTGAAGAAGACATTAAAACCTATTCACCGGCTGTCATGTTTCGTGGGACACCCTGTATATTCTTAGGATTCTCCCGCTATGAGGGAATAATAATTGTAAACTGTAAAGGTTGGACTAGAAGATACTAAGTATACTCCAGCTACGGGGGAGTATATAACTATAAACTCTATATATAGGTTGGACTAGAAGGTACTAAGGATACTCTAGCTAAGGAGGAGTATATAACTAGAAACCCTATATAGAGGTTGGACTAGAAGATACAAAGTATACTCTAACTAAGGGCAGAGTATATAAATAGAAACTCTATATATAGGTTGGACTAGAAGATACTAAGGATACTCTGGCTAAGGGGGAGTTTATAAATAGAAACTCTATATATAGGTTGGACTAGAAGATATTAAGGAGGAGTATATAACTATAAACTTTATATATAGGTTGGACTAGAAGATACTAAAGATACTCCAGCTAAGGGGGAGTATGTAACTATTAAAGAAACCCTGGACTCTCTTCCTGATATTGCCTTCTCCAAACCTGCTCTAGGTGAGTTAGAAATAGGTTTTCTAGCGAACGAAAAAACTTTCGCGAAAGGTTTCTTTTGTATTTCGCGAACTTTTTGCGAAATTTCGCACTTTTATGCGAAAAATTGCAAAAATGTTAATTTATTCGAAAACTTTTGCTTAAACCTGTTTCGCGAAAAAATGCTGAATTTGTTCAAAACAAAAAATGCTAAATTTCCTGAAAAAAAACGAAATTTGCACAGGTTATAATGCAAAATTTTTGCATATTTTTTAGCGAGCGGAATTTTTGGAGAAATGGTTTCCCAATTTCGCTGGAAACCCTAATTAGAGATATAACACTGAACTAGACAGTAGAAGAAGGTCTTGCTCCGCTATAGTTCCAAGTCGAGGGAGGAGAAGGTCTTGCTTCGCTATAGTTCAAAGTTGAGGGAGAAAAGGTCTTGCTCCGCTATAGTTCCAAGTCTAGGGAGGAGAAGGTCTTGCTCCGCTTTAGTTCCAAGTCAAGGGACGAGAAGGTCTTGATCCGCTATATTTCCAAGTCTAGGGAGGAGAAGGTCTTGCTCCGCTATAGTTCCAAGTTGAGGGGACTTTTTTTTAAATCAGATTTTTGACAATTTTTGATTTAGATATTTTACTGTGGTATTCCGTTTTCTTTCGCCCCAGCGCTTAAACTATTGTGGAATCCTTTTCGTCTTTTTGTTACTGCAATTTCTTCTTAGAATGTTCCCAAAACATTTTTATCGTTCTACCATTTAAGTTACAAAATCTTTTGATATATTTCATCTTGTAAAATGAAAGAAGAAAACAAAAATCCTTCCACTGTTTTCTGATTACCACTGTAAACCTGCAGATAGATATCCTGCAGTTATAAACATGTAGCCTGGCTACACCTTCAATGCCAATGTTGCATATACTCTAGCCGTTAATCAAGTCTCTAATTATAACGGATTACATTGAAAGAACACAGAATGAAAATGCAAATTAGTTAAATTGAATTATGTATAAATTAGCAATCAGTGATTGCAAATTTTATCAGATTGATATCATAACTATCAAGGCAATAGGGTGTTCGATATGTGTAACACAACGACATTATCTTATTTTTTCTGTTTGTATCCAATAAACGTCAAAACGGCTTAGCCAATTTTGTGTGGGGCCTAACATGACCCAAACGAAGGTTTATGAAAGATCAAAATTTAAAAAAAATCTCTAAAAAAATTAAATTTTCATTAGATTTTGAAAATCAACGAAATTTTCTTTAAAATTCGTGAATTTTTTTTTTACGAGAGATTGAAGTTCAATCTTTCTTGTTTTACAATGTATTTCAATAGAAAGTGTTCACAATTTAACAGAAGATGGGCGCACAGCGCCCTGAAAGCCTATAGTTTCTTTAAATTTCAGAAAGAAATTTATTCCAGCTTTCAATTCCAACTCAGCACAATTTTGTTTGCCAAAATTCCTTCCAACTTTGAGAATTGTAAATTTATCAAACTCGAATAAATATATCGGAAATTGATAAAAGATGAGCCATAATGTAAAGTTTTTCAGTTTCATGTGAATATTTTATTTGGTATATCTTAACACACATAAAGATTGCTATTAAAAAATATTAAAAATACATTAGAGAGAAACAGAAATATTTTATAGTTTCTGTAACTTCCTGGCTCAAAAAAGGAATTTTTTTATTTCTTTTCATCGTATTCATATATATATATATATATATATATATATACAGGGAGAGTCAAAAAAAAGTGTGATTTGAGGCGCCTGCTGCAAAATTGTACCTTTAATGCTCTCCTGTTCGCGGATTTGGGCCATTGAAGTACCAACAAAAATTTACAAATTTTCAAAAAATATTGAAAAAACACCATACAGGAGAGTTGCACAAAAGGGTACAATTTTGCACCAGGCGCCGCAAATCACACTTTTCTTTGACTCACCCTGTATATATACACTGCAAAGGGTTACCCAAAAAAATATACTTCAAATATGACAATGATAAATTTAAATCAAAAATGTTGTCTTTAAATTGTTCATTTAATGATTTGACAAAAAAAAAGAAAGAAGATTATAGTTGCAAGAAATTATATAAATATATATATAAGTTCAGATTTAATAATCGCAGCTAAATTTTTTTTTATTATTATTGATTATAAAATAATATCATGGTAATATTATTGCATCTAAATTCTTTTTCTTATTGTTATTGATTAAAAATAATATATATTAATATTTTTAATAAAATATTATATGATATTGCAGATTCAGTATATTGCAAACCTTATTATATTTTTCACCCAAATTAATCATTATTTCTTTATTAAACCTTCAGAAATAAGAATATAAATGTGCAAATAAAAATGTTTTTATATTTCTTGTGAAACATGTCTTCACAGCTTACCTGGCAGATTATTATCATTAACTTAAAAATAACAAGAATAATGCTACTTTTCACATATTTTCCTGAAACATACATGTGATCCTGATTTGACAAATAATTTTTCTTTGTACTTTATAAAAACTAGTTTGGAAACCCAGCTTTGCCTGAAAATTTCCCCTTTAAACTCAATTTCTAATTTATAAACCAGACTAAGACCATCACCGTAGTTTTACTGAGTTTCTCAAACAAAATTTTGGGCAAATCGGTCCCGGCACACTGAACTAACCACAGAGAGAAGTATCCTGCTTCTTTTATTTGAAATCAAACGTGTTTTCGTCTATATTTCAACAATCTTTAAACTTACAGATTTGTTTATTTTATACTTTTTCATTCAAAATGTATATGCCAACAAAAAGTTATTTATAAGGGGTCAAATTGTGATCGGAAGTCACATCTTTCTGAAATATTGACAGAACCGTTAAATCCACGTGCCGGGGTTCATGAGTTATGATTGCCGGAGACCATGGCGTATTCTATTTAATTTTATTTGCGTTTAGGATTCCGTGGTGCTCCTCAGCCTCCTCCTATTCCAGCTGGAATAGTGCAGTCCACTCAACCAAAGTTCTCTCAAATCTTGTTCAAGGTAAGTCATTTATAATTCCTATATCTTTGCACCCTGATGGTGTAAACCTTAGATATTTCAAACTTGGATTATTTGATCCATTAGAATCCATAGTTTGAAAGAACCTGTAAAATCTTTCCCTGGGATGTTTAGAAAGATGAAAATTTCCCTGTATGATAATTGAAGGACTGCAGTATGGTTTTGGTGAATTATATTGGCGTATTAAGCCTAGGGGTTTCAGAAATGATTTTTTTCCTATTTTTAAAAAACTTTTATAAGATTTTAAAGTTTAATTTTTGATAAAACTTTTTGTTCTGGATGATTGCAAATACATATCTAAAACTTTCATAAACCGGCATATTTTTTCTATATTCATTTAATTAAGAGTTTGAGTCAAGATAAGTATTGATAAATATTGCTTTTTATCGAGTAGATATCCTTAAACATACCGATGTAAAACCTTTCAGAAAGTAGGAAAGATTCTGCAAAAAAAGTTGGCAAACCAAACAGAATTTTTATTTTGAACAAAAATATTTAGAACTTATATAGAAGCTTTTCTGGGTTGCAACTTGCACTTTACTCTTGTTATGCATTATTTTCATTTGTGTATAACAGTATAAAAGAGATTCTGTTGATATGGTTTAAAACTAAACAGCTGATGATTCATTGGAGGGAGGATTGCAAAAACACCAATTTGTAATTCCCAAATCTTTTTTATGGAAAGTGATGGTAACAGGGTGTACAGAGTGCTATAGGGTACAGGGTACTACAATGTACTTCAAAGTACTGGGCTTTACTGAGCCCAAAACTTAAGACAGGGTATCGTTAAGAAAACCAGTTTTAAAACCCGGGTTTCACGAATGGGGTTACACAGTTTTGTGAATATCAATATTTTTGTTTCGAAATATTATTTTTTTCAGTTTGATTATATTTTCCATTTTTTTCGAATTTCTTAAATCAAAATCTACATAAATGTTAAGACCCCAAAAAGGAAACTCCCGAGTTTTGTTTAACGATACTCTTTTAAATTTCGGGCTCTGGGGTATTTTGGAGGAAGGGGGTACAGAAACTAAACAGAACCAAAAATCTGAGTTTGTGGCAAAGACACAATTCTTTTAATTCAATATAGTCTGAAATCTTGAAATCGGCACAATTTTTTTTGAAGAGTTTCTTTATTTATAAAACGTGTGAGTAGCAAATTGTTGTTGCATAAGCCTCTTGTTGTTCCAGAAGCTTCTTGTTGTTGCAGAAGCTTCTTGTTTTTACAGAAGCTTCTTGTTGTTGCAGAAGCTTCTTGTTTTTGCAGAAGCTTCTTGTTGTTGCAGAAGCTTCTTGTTGTTGCAAAAGCTTCTTGTTTGTTGCAGAAGCTTCTTGTTGTTGCAGAAGCTTCTTGTTGTTGCAGAAGCTTATTGTTGTTGCAGAAGCTTAGTGTTGTTGTTGCAAACACTTATTTTTATTGCAGAAACTTATTGTTATCGTAGAACCTTAGTGTTGTTGCAGAAACTTATTGTTATTCTGAAACTTATTGTTATTCAGAAACTTATTAATATTGCAGGAACTTATTGATATTGCAGAAACTTATTGATATTGCAGAAACTTATTGATAATGCAGGAACTTATTGCTATCGTAGAAACTTATTGTTGTTGCAGAAACTTATTGATATTGCAGGAACTTATTGATTTTGCAGGAACTTATTGATATTGCAGGAACTTATTGATATTACCGGAACTTATTGATATTCCAGGAACTTATTGATATTGCAGAACTTATTGATATTCTGAAACTTATTGATATTGCAGGAACTTTTCGTTATATAGAAACTTATTGTTATTGCAGGAACTTATTGATATTGCAGAAACTTATTGATATTGCAGAAACTTATTGATATTGCAGGAACTTATTGTTTTTTAGAAACTTTTTGAGGTAAAGTTTCCAATAATTATATTTTAATATTTCAGAATGATAAACTTGCCCAACATTACAAATTCTTCTGAAACCTTCAGGAAACAGGTTTTAAGATTAAAACTTTATTAAAAAAATGAAAAATGAGGCACATGTAATAAACTTAGGGCTTTTTAAATAAGTGAAATTTTTAGATCTGTGTAGCTCTAATAAAGCCTTTTTTAAGTTGGTGGATTCACAACTTTAGCATTTTTTATTTCTTAAGGGGCCCAATATACATTATACAGGGATTATATCACCATAGAATATATAACGTCAATTATTAGCATTTTTTATTTTTTATTATTACAGCTTATTTCAAACCCTCCCCCTCTCATCCTGAATTACCCCTCCCCCTTCTTTAATTATCCCCACCNAGGGGGGGTGGGGGCCGGAGGGGGCGTATATAATAATTTTTCCTATGGTGGAGGTTGTTAAAATCAACCTCTCACTATAGTTTCAGTAGAAGTAAATATTTCCATTTACTGATAGCGCCGGATTGAAGGATTCAGAACTCAAATTGGATATAATAAGATAGATAGAAAGATAGATGTTACCGCCATACTATTTATATTGGTTCAGAATAGACAAACAAACACATGACTGAACCCTGATTGGATCAGGCGCTAGTGGACTGCTCTGATAAACATTTTACAGAAAATATCTATTTCTGAACCTGTCTGAAGAAAATTGTAACTTTTTTTGCGATATCCAGGTTTCTGAAAATAAAGGTTTTTATGCTAAATATATCAAATTCTGCATTTTTTGGTGTAAACTGGATATTGCAAAAAATATCAAAGTTTAGGCGTTTTGTGCACAATCAATACAAGGACTGAATCCTTAACAATTTATGTTGTGCTATGCCGATCGATTGAATTTTTAAATTATATCTAAAAATAAATCTTGATCTTCAAATTTCTATATCTTTGCAACTTAATGTGAAAACCTAAAATCAGAGTTTGTGGAAAAAACTCAATTCCTTTTATCTTTTTTTTTAGATTCCACTGTTTGTCCGTTGATGAAGAATAACTGAAACTGCCTGATATCAAACTCATGTATTCATATTAATAATTTTATAATAATATAAGATGTGAGTTAAATTATAAAATTGTAAACGTACACTTTTCCTTCTTCTTTTTAAACTTTATTTTTACTGAATTTCATTTCTTAATGGAATTGTTGATATTTTTTCTGTCATTTGAGATTAACTTTTTCCTCTCAGGATGTTTTTTTTAACAACCTTTGGTATTTGTATGCATTGTATGCAGTTTTTAATATGTTTGTTGACACACTTTTGGTATTTTTCATCCAAAGGAATACGTTTAATTGCTCTTATTTTTTAACAATGTAAAATTCTTTTCTTTGTAATAAATAACAATTATGTTATCAGAAAAATATAGTCTATTTATTTATTTTTTTTTTTTTTGTGTTTGTATTTAATTTTTCATGTTTGAAAAGCTTCACAATTTTTCTAAGGCACTGCACGTTACAAAATGGGCCGAGCACTGCGGCTTTAGCGGGCTACAGAGCTGAACGCTTAGGTTAGGACAGGCGAGGGAAGACGTTTACAAAGAAATAAGTCGAATAGTAAAATTATCTACTTTAGCTTTCAGCAAACATCTGCAAAACTGATTAGACAATAATATTTCTTGAATTAAAAATTTGGTCCCGGCATTGCCTAAATGTATTTTTCGTGTTTTTGTTAAGTTTTTAGTTTTATAATTTCTAAAAACTTTAGAATGTTAAAATATAAAATAATTTTTTCCAGAAATCTCTCCTCTCTAAAATTTATCTAAAGAAAATTGTCACTTTTTGTATTTTATTGCCAGTGCTTGAGAATTTATTACACTTTGATTCAAAATTAAAGAATTTTTTAAGAGAAATTCCTTTTTTAATATATCTTTATAATTTGTCGTTATTTGATAATAAAAGTTAGAGATAAAATTTAGCGTTGAAAAAAAGTCCTGATTTTTCTCTGGGAACAGTCAGGAGCAGTGGTGATTTTTGAAATTTTCCAAAGGGGGATACCTCCCCCCCCCAACCCTCCCCTCCCCTTCCTAAACCACCATTGTCTAGGAGCATTTTCTTTTTGTACATAAAGATATTCGTTTATTAAACTTATTAAACATTTCCCAATTTTTTCATGTTTCGATTATTCAGTGTTTAATTCTTTAATCTCAAGAGCCAAAAACCAACAAGAAACAGAAGGAACAACAAAAACTTGTTTAGACCAATTTTTTTGTGGCAACTCACGTGACCTCCCCGGGAATGTTTAGGACCGATATTCATCAAATATTTTCACACAAAAAAAAACTTAACTTGATAATAAAAAAATCTTTTTAAATGAATTCAAAAGAATAGTTGAAATTAACATTAAAGATGTAAAATTATTGCAAGAATGCAATGGGTGCAAACCGTCCTGAAATCCCAGTATGAGATATTTCCCTGTAAGGCTGTGATTATAGGAAATCGAAAGATTTTTGAAAAGTTCAATATTATTAGACTGGCCTGGCTGAGAAGGGTTTGACTTTTTGACATATCAGAGCATAGAACAGAGCATAGAACAGAGCATTGAAGAGAGCATAAAAGAGAGTATAGAAGATAGCATGGAAGAAAGCATAGAAGAGAGTATAGAAAAGGGGCATAGAAGAGAGCATAGAAGAGAGCATAGAAGAGAGCATCATAGAAGAGTGCATAGAAAAGAGCATAGAAGAGAGCATAGAAAAGATAATAGAAATTAGCATAGAAGAGACCATAGAAGAGAGCATAGAAGAGAGCATAGAAGATAGCATAGAAGAGAGCATAGAAGAAAGCATAGAAGAGAGTATAGAAGATAACATAGAAGAGAGCAAAGAAGAAATGCATAGAATAGAGCATAGAAGAGAGCATAGAAGAGAGAATAAAATTGAGAGCATAGAAGAGATCATAGAAGAAAGCATAGAAAAGATAATAGAAATTAGCATAGAAGAGACCATAGAAGAGAGCATAGAAAAGATAATAGAAAATAGAATAAAAGAGAGCATTGAATATAGCATAGAAGATAGCATAGAAGAGAGCATAGAATAGAGCATAGAAGATAGCATAGAAGAGAGCATAGAAGAGAGCATAGAAGAGATAATAGAAAATAGAATGAAAGAGAGCATAGAAGAGAGCACAGAAGAGAGCATAGAAGATAGCATTAAAGAGAGCATAGAAGAGAGCATAGAAAAAATAATAGAAAATAGAATAAAAGAGAGCATTGAAGATAGCATAGAAGATAGCATAGAAGAGAGCATAGAAGATAGCATAGAAGATAGCATAGAAGAGAGCATAGAAGAGAGCATAGAAAATAGCATAGAAGATAGCATAGAAGAGAGCATAGAAGAGAGCATAGAAGAAAGCATAGAAGAGAGCATAGAAGAGAGCATAGAAGAATAGCATAGAAGAGAGCATAGAAGAGAGCATAGAAGAGAGCATAGAAGATAGCATAGAAGAGAGCATAGAAGAGAGCATAGAAGAAAGCATAGAAGAGAGCATAGAAGAGAGCATTGAAGATAGCATAGAAGATAGCATAGAATAGAGTATAGAATAGAGCATAGAAGAGAGCATAAAAAAGATAATCGAAAATAGAGTAAAAGAGAGCATAGAAGATAGCATAGAAGATAGCATAGAACAGAGCATAGAAGGTAGCATAGAGGAGAGCATAGAACAAAGCATAGACGAGGGCATAAAAGAGAGCATAGAATAGAGCATAGAAGATAGCATAGAAGATGAGCCGACTCAGCCCTTTTTGAAGAATTATTAAAAATACAAAAGTTTTGTCCTCCGATTAGATTAATTCAGTATTCCCAAACTTGGTGCATCTAACTCTCAATATTGGAAATATTGGAATTTTCATATTCTTTACTCAAACATTCTTTAGGTTAATCTTAACAATTTAGAATTAAGATTAAAACTTAAACAGAATATATTTTTTGTACTATCTTAGAAGGATAAAATATTATTATGATTCAGGTTTTAAAACTTTTGATATTCAAATTCGGGCCCGATCAGTTTTTCTGTTTTGACATTTATTGGACAGTAACAGACAAACAGACAAACAAAAAAACCGACAAACAGACAAACAGACAAACGGAGATATAGCCAAATATAAATGCTTTTTTTAAAATTGAAAAAAAATCAAAGATATTAATTTATGAGAAAAATATTTAAGTTTCTGCAGTAAAGAAGAATTATTGTCTTCACCGAGTTCTGAAAATTTAAAAAAAAATGGCGTGGGAAGCGAGACTGCATGCAAATTGATTTATGTGTCTAATGGAAAAAAGAGATAAATTTCTTTTATAAAGAAAGCTCATTTCAAAAGTCGATTTATCCATAAAAAATGTTTTGTGCTAAATCTACAGAGGCCCATCAGATCTACATTGAACCAGTCATAATTTAAGAAGTATCCGAAAAGGTGCTAAGGAATTAAGTCTAATCCCTATAGCTGATGGTGAACACCATAAATATTTCAAACTTATATTATTTGATTTAACATAATTCACAGTTTAAATATCTAAGGTCTCCGATATTAGATTGTAAAGATATAGGGATTAGAAAATCAAAGACTCAATTCCTTTTTTCATTAACTATCAGAAAACTAAATTTCCTTTTGAATATTATCGCTACCAAAGCCTATATATATTATTTTATGAAACTATTGTGTACCTTGTCATTCTTCCTCACTTCATCGTGAATTTTATAATGAACGTGCTATAAAGTAATCATCGTGCTTTAAAGTTAAATTAGCTGTACATTAGAGCAGGTGTGCTATAAAGTTTTGACTGGTTTCTGTATTCTCTCCAAAAAAGTTAGGATATTTCAAAAATATTCATTTTTCAATTGAAATGAAAATAAAATTGAAATCAACTTTATATTTTGACTTCTGCTTTGTTTCAAAGCTTATCTGATCTAGAAATAGCCATTGAAATAAGACAAGTACACAAACGTTTCATAAAATTACCTTTAACTCTATTATTTTGGCACGACGTGCTATATAGTTTTTGGAATTTAATTTTCTCTATATCTCGAAGGTTTCGCCTTTTAGACTCTAAAAAGGCTTGAACCTTCTTGATAAAGACTAAATTTTTGTCCAAAAACTTTAAACCACTGCGATCCAAAATAACAGCGTTATAAATAGTTAATTTTACAAAATTGTGTACTGCAAATTCTAGGGAATTATCTAAATTAGTACTGTTTTTTTGTAAACAAACTTTAAACCATTTTGGGAAAATGTGCAACAACTAAAAGATATTTTTTCGACTGTTCTTTCTTCCGAATATTCCGATAAAATCATTCCACGAAAAGTAGGTGCAGAAGGCATTAATAAATATTGGTATAGAATTGAGAATTATTATGATTATGAAACAATTGTTGTTACAGATTAATTACTTAATCGTCTAAAATTAGTAGTTTCCATCTCAAGTTTATGCAGTGTTGTAGATTGACGACCTATGAATTCTTAATGATATAAATATAATTCCTCCCAAGGTTTAAGGTTGGTTACTCTCGATACTCTCGATGCGCTCCAATGTACGGAAAATTTCGTCTCCTATAAGCTACGAGGTATATTCAATAAGTTTTGCAAAAATAATTTTAAATGTACTTCTAGACGTCTCAGCCATGTAATTTTGTTTCAAAGCTCACTGTATCCATCCCGGTTGTATTCTGCAAACGGAATATATTCATCAAACTTTTTATTTCTATGTAATCCGCCTTTTCCATGAGGTTGTTTAGATCCGTTGTCAGCACGGGAATATTTTTAATCCTATCTCTGCTGGGGTACTTGAAAACGAGGATATGCTGGGGGGTGATGCTCGATACACAAAAATTCAGGCCTGCAACTTTCTAAATATAAAGCAGACACCTTAGACATGACCAAGGAAACAGTCTACAAGTGTGTTAAAAGGGAAATTAAAGACGTAATGGAGAGTGATGTTGGCAGAGCTAGGAAATGTCTGAGCATGAAAAACCCTCAACAAAACAACAAACAGTCCACAAAATTGAAAGTTTCTCAGAACAAATTCGCAAAGCTTCTTATAGTTGATGACTTTTGATGAGGTTGACATCAGATATAGTGCTGCATACAAAGTTCTGTAAAGCAATATTTGAAAAATGGCAACGATATTAATTGGTTGGCTGAAACGTAGATTTCGACAATAAAACCCTCAAGGACCTTTTCTACAAGAAAGGCATTCCTTCCTTTGACTTTTTAAGGTTGCCCAAGCTCTAGAACACGCATAATTTGATAAAGTTTGAGTCTATAGATAAAATATTTAGGCTGTGACAATCAATGTGAACAACTCCTAACTGCATCCAACATACTATCTGATCGACATTAACTGATCAGAAAATTTAACCGGTAGAAATACAGCAAACTTTTAAATTAAATTTTTTTTAAAATATTTTTATATTTATATTTTTTATATGCGTCAATCTCGCCTCTAAAAGCAATGACGTAATATTAGGTTGTTATCTATCTATTCAAGGAGACGACATTTTCTGTACCTTGGAGTGCATCGAGAGTAACCCTGCAGCTTATTATATACAACCTTGATTCATCCACAAATGGAATACTGTACATCTATCCCACAGACTAGACATATATACAACCTACTAATCAGCTTTCACACACTTGGTTAAGTATAAGTATAGTTTGACCGCCACTTTTTGCATTTAATACCCATTCAGAGGTTAAGTTTTACAACCTTTAAAGAAACTTTTAATTAAAACATAAAATTTATATCTTTAGTCTATTTTCAATTTCGTATCCAAAGGACTCCTAAACATCGCTGAAGATAGAAATTTGTTTTTAATCTTCCTGACAGAAACAATCTCAAGCACTGACTAGGGTCAACCCAGACCGAAATATATTTCAATAAATGTGGAACTATCTAACTATCTAACATCTACTTTTTTGCTCTACAGAGGTTTGGTCCATCGCTATCCCCGAATTTTAAAGATAAAAATCTTCTATGATTACTGATTAGTCGTGTACTCTAATTGTACACAATGGAACCTGTTGTAGAAAATATTGCATATTTTAGCCTTTAATAGATCTCTGTACTCTGTTATCTCTGATCTAACCATATAAGTTTAAAGAACTTTGTGTAATGTCACTGTTTATCTAATAAATAGTATAAATAAATTGAAAAGTAAATAGTTGTACAAGTATTATACAGAGCAAGAAATACAGGAAATCTATCTATATCTATCTATCTATCAATCTATCTATGTATCTATCTAACTATCTATCTATCTATCTATCCATCTATCCATCTATCCATCTATCTATCTATCTATCTATCTATCTATCTATCTATCTATCTATCTATCTATCTATCTATCTATCTATCTATCTATATATCTATCTATCTATCTATCTATCTATCTATCCATCTATCCATCTATCTATCTATCTATCTATCTATCTATCTATCTATCTATCTATCTATCTACCCCGGAGGACTGCTGGAGAATGAAGGTTGAAGATTGTGAAAACTCCGGAGAATGGCTCAGTTTAGGTCCAACCTTGGTCCCACAGATTGTCCTGGCCAGGACCTCTTCAGAGGATTTCAACACATCGAATTCTTTCTTGGGACGGACCTCAAGATTTGTTTGATTTTCGAGATGGCTTTACTAGCCTTGTAAATTGCCAAATTTGATATTTTTACGTTTTTATTCATAAAAATCGACCATTAAATTTTTCAAGAATTCAAAGTTTTAGATAAATCTGTGAAAATGGTTGCAAATATTTATATTTGTATATGTTTCTCCCACTTTAAAATTTTGTATATTCAACAATCTTTAACAATAATCTAACTTGTTAAAAAATGCTTTTATGTAGAACTAGCTAAATTACCTGGCCGGCGTTGCATATAGGTTGCTCCAGCCGTTTACCCGCACGCTTGCTCTTAAATCATGATTTTAGCAGTCCCGTGGTTGCCCCGCAGAACATTAAAAAATCCATTTTTTTTGCATTTGTCACACCTGGCGTTTCCTTGGGATCCCTCAAAAAAAGTTTCAGTCAGTTTGGTTCAGCCGTTTGATCAGCTATAGGGCATATATGAATGAGTAGAAGGGATTATTACATTGATTAAGATACATAGAACATATGAAACTGTTTACATCTATTAAAACAACATTAAAAAAGTACAAAGTTAGGATTGTATAATTCCTTCCCAATTTTCCCCCATCATCAAAATTTTATTTTGAATAATCCATTTTTTAAATGCCATCAATAAAATAACGGTTCTCAAAGACATTTTTACTCAAATGCCGGGTTGATGGTTAAATTTTTATAATAAAGCTCCTAGCCTATAGCCTATAGCTAAAGCTATAGCTACCTAACCATATTGGCAATTTCTTTTCCAAGGGCAATTCAGCTTATGTTTCAATCAGTTGCTAGGAGCCCTTTTAACGGAGCAGAGGTCAGAACCTGAACCCTTTATCATGATATCCAATGTGTACACCTTTAAATGGTATGACCACCGTGGGATATTTAAGAGGAA